AGAACGATACAACAATCAATCCCGACCAGATAGGATTCCTAGAATTAATAACACATGAAATTGTTCATGGTCTTGGACTTGTAACAAATTGGAATCCTCTTTTAAATTCTAATGTAACCACAGAATTAACTCCAAGATTAAATTTAACATCAAGCGTTACTGATCCAACACAACCTTTAATATATTATGGATTTATTGAAACAATATTTGATCAATTTATAGTAACATCTGAAGGAAATAAATTTTCAAATTTTACCGAGAAATTGAATAAATTTACTCCATATGGAACAAAATTTAAAGATCAATCCGCATTTATAAACGCATTTATTAATTCACCACAATATGCTATAGCTCAAATGGTGTTAAATTATTCACAGACAACGAACTCTATGGTGTTTTTAGCAAACCCTCATTCTGAACTTATATGGTTGGAAAATGATATAAATCCATATACAAAAGGAAGCAGTATATCTCATTTTAGCATGGCAATTTATGATAATACAACAGATTTTTTAATGACTTATCTGCAACATCCTGGTCGATCTTTTGAAACTGCTTTACAAGAAAACAATGCAACTTGCATAATTGGACCAAAATTAATATATTTACTCGAAACTATAGGGTAATTATAATTACTTGCATGTACATAATTTTTACGATATGTAATTTTTTAATATTGACGCAATCTTACCTAAAATTTTTAGTTATGCAACGCCTAATCATCCAGACCCTGAAAAACCGTCACCAATAGATCATCCTGCAAAAAATCAAACAACGAAGTCAAAGTCAACCAATAATAATTATACCACCCCCACCAGTTCACTCAGCACATCACAACCTACTAGTTCCAGTGTATTATCTAATACATCTAATACAGGAAGTAATATAGTTAGCAATAATTGGATAAATCTTGTACTTTGTCTTTGTTTGAGTGTGGGTGGATGGTTTTTTTGGGTTTAAATTGTAAATGATCATTTAATAGTTTAATAAATAATTTAAATGAGATAGTTTTATTAGACTAATTATATAATATAATTAATATTTGTCTTGTTTTGTTTTTTTTTTTGTTTTTTTTTTTTGTTTTTTTTTTTTTTTTTTTTGTATTAATTGTTGAAAGTTTTTCACTCCCAATATAACTTCGATCACCTTTCTTTTTAAATCTTTCTTTTTAATGCATCGTTTGTATTGCATTTTATACATAGAATCAATGTTTTTATCATTTGTTTTTTTTTCTTTCTATTCTTTAATGTATTTTTTCAAAAAAAAAAATTCTGTAATCTTCTGTAATCTAAACAACTCAACGGCAAACAGTCAGAAATTAAAGAAGTACTGACAGTACATAACAGATAATGATGACCAGTAACATCTTTCTAAAATAAGCACATGAAAATCATAATTTTTACTGGTTAATCTAATAACGATAAGTGTACGACAAACTATTGCTGTATTGCAAGTTTTTGTAAAAAAAATTCATCATCTCAAAAAAAATGCCGAAAGCAAAAGCAAAATTAAAAACTTTACTAATAAAACTTCAACATGAAAAAAAACATAGGGATAAAGTAACTGCCACATCACGAACTTTACACCCGTATACAAAGCTAAAACCTTCATCAAATGTGAGAAAACAAATTAAACCACCACCCTATCATCCTGATGATTATATTTTGTTAGTTGGAGAAGGTTCTAACTATTATTAAATCATTTTCATATATAATTTCAATTAATCTATTTTCTTTAATTCACATTATTTCAATTTTTAAAAAATTATAAATTAAATAGGAAATTTTAGTTTTGCTCGCACTTTAGCAGAATCAATTCTTCATACAGGTCATAAAATTATTGCAACTTCATATGATACCAAAGAAATAATGACAAAGAAATATGATGATGCACAATCAAATATAGATATATTTATAGAATGTGGTGGTCAAGTTTTATATAAAGTTGATGCAACAAAACTTGAAAATTGTAAAGAATTAAAAAATAAAAGATTTGATAAAATTGTTTTTAATTTTCCTCATACAGGTAATTTATATTTATAAAAAAAAAAAAATCTTTGTTAATAAAATTTTTAAATAAAAAATTTAATTAAATTTATTAATTAATTAATAAAAGGTTTAGGAATAAAAGATCAAGATCGTAATATTATCGCAAATCAACTTTTAATTCATTCTTTTCTCACATCCTCTTTAAATTTCCTTACTTCTCGTAAACTTTATTCTGATAGTAAAGATGGAGAAATTCATATAACAATGAAAACAGGAGTACCTTATGATCATTGGAATATTCGCAAATTAGTTAAATCAATAGAAAGTCTTGGAATTAAAGAAAGTTTTGAGTTTGATCCAAATCTTTATCCAGGATATGAACATCGGAGAACATTGGGATTTAAGGAAGGTGTTAGTAAAAAAGGTAATGAAGAAATTTTAGAAAAAAAGCCAAGGACTTTTGTTATTGTCATGAAAGAAGTTTTATTAGAAGAAGAGAGAAAGCGAAAAGATGATGCAAATGATGAAGATGATGACTCTCTTGTCATAAAATCCAAGAAGGTAACAAAGGGAAAGAAAAAAAAATAATATGATATTACTATGTATGTACAGCTAACAAATACCATAAACATTGTTACAAATTAAATGAGTAATGTTTTAATATAATAATATTTGTTTTAATAGTAAAGCAGTTTATTATAGGAAATTGTGAATTAAATAGTATTATCAACATTGGATCTTAAAATCTAAGTGATAATACACATTATTCGAAGCACTACGAACAAGTTTCATGCGGTTAAACGGTTCAAATCATTAGTTAAATAAAGTTTTATACATGTCTTTTTAAGTAAATACTTTGGTTTAGTATAAACATAGTTGCATCTAATACTATATATGCACTAGCTTGATATAAAGAATATTATTCAAAACTTTATTTTGTATATTAAATACCGTGTATGCTGTGTGAAGAACTGCATACTAACTTACTGTATATTTGGTATAAATTATATAAAAAGCAATAAATCAATATAGATAGTTTTAACATGGGACAATACTGTATGCAGCAGCGTTGTTATTTGGACATATGAAACTACGAAACTACGGATTTGGGCCTAAATAGGCCGAAGGTTAGGACTAATAAAAGAAATATTGGACTTAAGGCAGTGGCCAACAGTAAATACACTTACAAAATAGCATATATTTTGTAAATAGCTTATACTGTATTTTAGTATTTTATATACTGTATACTACTCCAAATACATACAAACTTTCTAATATAAATATTAAATTACTCATTTTAAATACAAGGATGATTTGTTTCTTCGGGCTTATTAGATATTTTACTCTATAGTCTCCATGACATAAAATCATGTATATACTAAAGATGCATCAAAAACAGAACTTTATCACTTTGCATCGAATTAGGAACATCCGCAGTAACTTACATATGATTAGTTACATTAGTTTTGAGTAGCGTGTTTGATTAGAAATTTTGATTTTCTTTACCACCAGACACGTAAAATAATTTTATTATGTATTAAAAATTGTAACATTTAAAATGTTGCAATGTTTTTGAATTATTTCGGCATTAATCGGTGCTAACCAAACAAATTATATCGGGAGCTCTGTCATACAGTTCAGATCTATATAGATATTCCGTAATATATTAGAATTAAGCTAACTTTTACTAGCGCTACGTAGCATGACAAAGGCAATTCTCGACGTGATCTACGGATCTGGTAAAACCCGAGTCAGATCTAAGTGTTTCAGATAGTAACGCTCGGTAAGCTTTGTGTATAATTTCAAATTATGCTTTAATTACACCAAGATCAATTTTGGGTCATTATTCGAAATAAACGCGAACGTCCGAAAATACAGTACTCGTTTAATACTGTTATTTGCCGAAAAATTTGAGTAACATGGTTGCGCTACAACTACACCAACTTCACCAACTTCACATGTACGGCGGAATAATTAAACAACTTCCTTCATTCAAATTTTCAACTTTACATGTACGGCGGAATAACTAAATCATTTCTTTCTTCTAAAAATCCCCAAAATTCCAACTTTACATGTACGGCGGAATAACTAAATAATTCCTTTTGTCCAAATTATTCAAAATTTTCAACTTTACATGTACGGCGGAATAATCAAACATTTCATTTCGTTTGTACTACAATACTTCTTTGCCTAAATTGTACTAACATAACTAACAATAAGTATTTTTTATTTCTTTTTTTTTTTCCTTTTTCCTACGTACTAATATTATGTATAATATTATGTATAAAAAAAAAAAAAAAAGAAAAAGCGTTATAAGATCAACTATATAAAACACAAGTACTGTATATACATTTATATATTATTAATTATCTATTGTAAGACCAATATATGCGTACGCACGTATGTTGCATATACAATTTCTAAAGATATATAGTACATCCTGTTCTATGTTACGTATAAATATATATATATCGATATAATTTATATATAATTCAGTAATTTATAACGGTAATGAAAAATACAGTAACACAGTAAATATAAATAATGATAAGGTTATATTCAAGCTTACCAGTATTGAAATATGCTAATACTTTCAGTAACATACCAATATAAATTGAATTCAATACGTATCAAATTTGCAGCTAGTTAATCATTTCTTTTTTGAATAAATGAACAGAAACATGTAGTTACATTTATTGCATGGTCTAGTCTATTTCGTGATAGGCTCGAAATTCTGTAACACCAATTTGATCCTTTGTAGTAATTTCGAAGTTTAGAATTTTTTGATATCAATATGGAAGTAAATCCCGGTCTAAACTCTATTTGAACCAATTGAGGCTTTTATCCCCTATCACTATATTCCTGCCACTATATTCCTATCGATATTTCTACCACTATTTCTACCACTATTTCTACCACTATTCCTACCGCTAACCCCTATTCCATATCCCTTCTTCGCCAATGAAGATTCTCTCTTTATATTTCTTCAATATTTCTAAATCGGCAATTCTTCTAGTCTTTAATTCCTTTCGTTTCATTTCTTCTTTTAATTGGTTGAGAAGCTCCATCAATACTCCCTTATCATGCATTTCGTAATAATATTTTTTTAATTCCAGATTATTGTGTTTAACAATATCTATATTAGTATTAGCGAAATTATTTATGGCATTGGTGTGACTACTTGTAATATTAACGCTATCATTAGCGTTAGTATTATTAAAACTATTTGTAGAATTAATGTCATTCTCATACACTGCATTCCAATTATACGATTTCTCTAACGCTTTCAAATATTCACTCTTATTTTCTACATCTATATTATTCATTTCTGCTACTGCTGCTAACCTTCTTTTTAGAGATTTTAAATAATGTGTCATTTCCATTTCGATAATATCTTTATTATTGCTTAATTCTCTACATTGATTCATTTTGTTCCTCTCGTTTTCCATTTCTAAAATATCATCATTATTATTGCTTAATTCTCTACACTGATTCATAATGCTAGTCAAATCCGCACCTTCAGGAATTTGTTCAAAAAATGTTTTAGTTCTTGGGTTTACTTCATTATTATTTACATAAATTGATGTCATTATATTAATAAAACTAACAATAGCTGCAATCTCTTTACACATGTCTATAAAAATTTCAGATCCTACAATTTTATCATAAACATTAATGCCTAATTTTAAATGAGCCGTCCTGAATTCTTGAAAGCTTCGTTTTCCCCAACAATCGTCTGCTAACACAAAATATCCTTTAATAAACACCTCTTCAATAAAAACATTGATTTCTTTCGGTTGTCGTTGATTAATTAGCATAGCCTGGATTTTAATTATATCACTAAGAATCATCCAAAAATGACCAAATATTTTTATATTCCCATATTTAGATCTATAAACTTTGTACCATTTCATTCTTGCAATCATAGTTCCTACGTTTTCTGCATCATTCTCGAGGTCTTTGCTCTTCTCAAAACCCTCGATAGATTTGTATGCATTGTCAATTCTTTCTAATCTGGATGCATTGTCAATTCTTTCTAATTCGGATGTCATTTCATCAAATATATTAGAGTATCTAAATTCATTATTTGGTAATTCATTATTTGGTGTTACGGAGGTTTCAGGACTTTCAGGGGTTTCGGAACCTGGCTTTCCACGAATGCCATAAGAAGAGAAACCAAAACCATTTTGAATATCAATGTTTTGAATATCAATGAGTAGTTTATCTAAAACGTCTGACACGCTCATTATCACTTTTACTTATGTTTTTGGTATTCACTTATGCTTGAAGTACTTGCTTGTATTATCACCTCAAACAAGAATTTTACGAATAAAACTTTTTTTATTTCTTAAGTTATGGTTCACTCAAAATAACTTGAATTTTTTTGCCCGAATTCCTTTCCCCTCTAATAAATATATATTTTCGTAAAACAATACACGAGAAAACGCGTACTATACATTCTATTGCCTAGTATTAAATTTTAGTTAGTTAATTAGTAAAATTATATACATGCATTATTTAAAAATTATACAAGTTATATAATAACAGTATTATATGATTCAGAATTATACAATACATTCTCGTAGATAATCAAAGCCACAAATTAATGAGACTGGATTATAAAAAGTTGAGCTTTATACTTTTCTTTTTAGCCACTTTCCTTCCCCAATAGAACATAATTTTTTTTTTCTTGATCATGTGGTGAGTATCCGAATACATTCACATTCATTTAACATTTTATAATGATAATAATGAAAAGGTTAATCTTATGAGAAAATGTAAATAAAAATAACAATACTTTTCATTTTTTATCTTTTGTATTATATTTTTACGTGGTTTTGCTTTTCAATTTTGATGATTTAATTAGTAAACATTTAGTTGAGCATTCATCACAAATTTAATTATGTTAATTGAATAGCATTAGAATTATTAATACAAAATCAATATTAATAAGCAATTATAATAAAACAACAAATTCTTTTAAACCAACTTTTCAACTACTAACAATAGTACTATACATTTTTAGAGCGATAGCATATACAGTAATTGTGCAAACTAAATCACTTATTTAAATCACTATTATTAAAGAATAATACTGCAATACTAATCTTTTTCTATTAATTAATTTATTTTATTAACAATTATAAATCTTGGTTACTAATAGTAATAGATGGCGTTGGGCTTTTATTGTATTTTAAAAACTTTTCCATCGTTTTCCAAACGTATATTATAATTAAATTGATCCGCCTTCTTCATAACAATCGTTTCATCGACAGCTCATTTAGTCGACATCACTCCAAGTAATAATACTAAAAATTTACTGTATATCTACAACTAATCAAATGCTAACCCCAACCTTGTGTGTGATGTCGGCTAAATGAACTATCGGTAATTGTCGGCGAAGTACTGCAAACAGCACCAATAAAATTATAATTAAAAAAAAAAGAATTAGAACTTAAAATTTCTATATTATAGCTATAATTTTAAGTATAATTTATATATTATTGTTTACTAATTTTTTTATATTATTTTTTTGTTATCTTGTTAAAATATAATATTAATATTAACTAAAAAACAATAAGAAAAATTGTATTTATAAAGATAATAAATATACTTGAATTATATTTAAAAGGTTGTAGTTAAGATATTTGCTTATTATAATATATAGCTATTTACAGTATGTTTATATAAAACAAAAAAATAAATTAACAATTGGTTGTTTATATATATACTGCATATTTGTTTAGCATAGAAATTATATTGTGTTTATTTTCAAAATTTACTATTGTTTTAACAGCAATAATTTTTATATAAATAATAATAAAATATACGTATATATTATAAAAATTTTATAATAAATACAGTATATATATATACTATACACAGGTCGAAAGATGAAAAATCAGACACAAATCAGGTACCCGATTTTAAACTGATTACTACCTGATTACCACCTGATTTATGCATATTTTTGTACCAAATTTTTGGTACAAAAATATGCGTAAATCAGGTGGTAATCAGGTAGTAATCAGTTTAAAATCGGGTATCTGATTTGTGCCTGATTTTTCATCTTTCGACCTGTGATAATTATTGCAAATTTAATATATAAACTATATATATAAATGCATAACCCTAATAATTCAATATCTTTTGATAAAACTTTGCAAAGACTGATTATTACATTTCTACTAACAAATTCATAGAGCAACAGTATTTCTTTAAAAAAAACAAAATTAGATCTTTTTTACATCCCAGTTTGCAGAATTTTGAAAATAATAATGTGAGTGCCGTCAAAAGAAAACCTGTCATCAGACAATTGTACAGTTAGCCATCTATGGAAAATCTATCATGATGATACGTGGATTTTCCATAGACGGCTAACTATACACAAAATATAATTAAAATCCGATGACATTCATATGATTTTATTTTTCGCTAAAGCATAAATTGTAGATTAAAGTTTAACAACTGCTAATAGTACCATGTAGACGTTCTAGAGAAGGTAAAACTGAAATGAATCTTTATAAGTTTTCTCTTCGGTACTTGAATCATAATAAGTTAAGGACACTAATCCACAAAATTGAGAAGATTGCAATCGGAATACAATGTTTCTAAAAAATAAAGTACAGTCTACCCTCGTTTATATCAACCTATTTGTATTAATAATAAAGTTGATATATATGAGGGAATTTAATTGTATAAAAATTTGTAAAAATTCATCTTATAGCTTAGGTTGATATTAACGAGGGTAAACTGTACCCTGGTTAAATGTAATTATTTGTCTTGACGTAGATTAATTCATTCTTAACTACATACTGGTATTACTGGAATGGCAAGTAAGTTTTGTAACAGAATTTTTTTTTTTAGTAACTACGTATTTATTTATTTATTTATAAATTTATTTTTTATAGTGAAGTTTCAGAAGCTATTTATCTTAAACACGCCAAGTCAGAACGCCGTGTTATTTGACGAGCCATTCATGCTTCATTTGTAAAAATAAAGCAGATGTCAAACTATTCAAAATAATAAATGTAACGGTAATCTGTAAAAATTCGATTTATAATTTGCTAAATTCAATAACGATGGTGTTACAAGATATCTTAAAAGGATAAGCAAATCTAATCGTTATAAATTCACGAGGTGTTTTTAGGGGTAGTTTCTGTCAAATTAGCAAGCACAAACTGTTTTCTCCTATAATAGGGAGTTTTATAAGTAGCATTACGCCAAATGCATTGAATAACATTTCGGCATTTACGCCAAAGATCAAAACAGATCTATATATATTCATGACATATATTCATGCACATATTAACAAGATAATAACAGGTTTATTCATTTTCATATATCCTGAAAGTTTAACAAACAACTAAAATAAGAAGTATATCGATATTATGTATAATGATTATTTCCCGGAAATTTCACAATCCCTTAAAAGTTTCAGGGAAATTACTAAAGCTACAAAATTGAACTGCGAAACAAGCAAACCATGTCCATTTTGTTGTCAATTTTTTAAAGTTGTTAAATTAATCTCATTGACCAACAGATCATTTAAACAATTTCCAAAATAATCATTTGATCTTTTTTGCATTACATTTCATATGTTTGATTTATTTAAATCAATACTAAAAGCCGCCCATAAAATTATAAACTCTAACCTTTTAAATAAGGAATTCCGTTTTAACGAGTTTATTCTTTTTTTAATGACTTGTTTTCTTTTTTACCATCTTAAAAAGTAATTTTACTGTTTATAATAAAAAGCCTTCCTTCCCCGCAGTAAGATTTCCTTTTAGTGAAAATGCCATTGATAAATTTTTTTATTTCGTTTCTTTTTCTGGTAACGGCTGCTTACGGATGTGGTATGACCGTACATAACGAAGTCACAACCCGAGCAATGTACTTTTTTAATCCTACCATACAGGAATATTCCAAATATGCCAATTTTTTACGTAAAAATCCACAATTTGTTCAGGTATGTGATTCCGTGCATCCTTTAGAAACAAAATAATCGAATCTCGAACTTTATTTATATATATGTGAAGGCGGGTTCATTTTTTCCGGATTGGTTCGTTTTTTTTTTTTTTTTCTTTCTTTTCCTTTTTAATCCTTTCAAACAGATAACCGTCATTATCTGATCTTTTTTTATAGGGGATACAGTTGTTGGAAAAATGATGAACTTTCGGAAATTGGTATGATTTATTTATTTATTCCTTCCTTGCAGATTTATAAAAAATAAAACGTCGAATCTAATTACATACAAAATTTTCTTTTTTTAAAAAAATAATAATATATATATATATACGTTCAGCTCACTGGCCTCCTTTCATCAAAGCAGCCACGGATCATATTCGCGAAAAGTATGGAAGTGAATCGTGGGAACAGGATGAAGTGGCGCAGGTCCGTATAAATAAAATATTTCTAAATAAATATTAGAGCTTTGATTATAATATTATATTAATTTTTTTTTTTCTGGGTTTGAAGGGGGTAATTTCTTTTCTATACGCGATAGTCTCTCATGGGATAGCAGATGGTTCATTTCATAGCTTAGGAGGAATTCATGATGGATTTATAGCCACAATGGCCGAAGTTAATTTTAAGCAAGATATTGAGGCGGCACATTCTGCGGCTGATATGGGTGGTGAATTCACTCTTTCACATATGGTTAATTTGGATTATCTAGAGGTATTTACACTATTATCGTGTATTTACATTATTATCGTTATACAGTGTCTAATATCCATAATGGTCACGTTTAATTTATAATTTATTTTGTTAGGATGAATGGCAAGTGCCTATCGATGATATAATAGAAATATATGAAAGAATTAACAAAACGGCTTCAAAAAAGCATATAAACTATTGTATTAAACAAGCCTTTACTGCCATTCAGGCTAATAAAGTGAGTGAGAAAATGCCTATCATTGTATTAGTTATTTTCAGATGGTCAAATAATGTTTCATTATTTTATAGAGGTTTGGAAAAATTCTTTTTCCAGCCTATGGTGAAAAGGTATGTATTATTATCATGATTTTTTTTTGTAATTATTTTTAATCTTTTTGACTTTTGGTTTATTCAGTCACCTTTTCTGATTGAAAAATTGGAAGAATACTATCGTGGAGGTAAAATAAATAAATAAATAAATAATATAATTTTCAAACCTTTAATTGTTCGCTTTTTAATTAATGAAATTTCATATATGACGTTTAGGTATAAATAACATGGCCGCAGATGTACACGAGTGTTGGCATAATTTATCTAATTGGCTTGAAAAAGGTCCAAAAAGTGATTTCTTATCATTATGTGACCCTTTTAAAGAATCTTATCAAAATTCATTCATCAATAATCATGGTTTACGAAATACGTCCGATTTTAATGAATTCTTTCGTATATTTTCATATGAATTATTGAATGCAAGCGGTTTTACTCTGAACAATTATAAAGATAAACATGGTATAACTCATTATAAAATATATCAGAAACCAAAAGATCCTTGGACGTTTTCTTCATTTTTCGAGGAGAAATTAAAAGATAGTGTTAAATTTCATCAAATATTTAAAGATGTTATTTCTTCACCGAATGACTCTCCACAATTACGAATTCAAATTTCATCATCACAACGAGTAAATCATCATCAATTAACATCGGATTATTCGATAATGAATAATAGGATCGATGATTCTAGTTGGATTTCAAAGTGTCAATTTATGCCCACAGACCCAAATTTATTTGTAAATTTAGACTTACCATATTCTTATTCATTGTTTGGTCACGATATGGTGACTGGTGACTTCAATGGAGATGGAATTGAAGATTTAGGTGATTTTAGTCTTTAGTTTGAATTTTACAAAGAAATATATATATTTGAAAGAATTATTTATTCTAAAACCCTCCAACCCCTTTTTTTCTTTATAGCAATCAGTGCACCTTTGTATGATGAACATACAAATGTTCCCCATACGGGCGCTGTATTTATTTTATATGGTAAATCAACATTACGACCGCCACTTGAATCAACAAACATTCTTGAGCTCTCTGATCAAATCTTGTATGCAATTGATCCTCTTCCTCAGTCCCGATTTGGTTGGTCCCTAGCTGTGGTAGATTTAAATTCGGATGGAATAGATGATTTAGCAATAAGCGCTCCATCATATGGTACTAACCGGTTTATATCTGGAACTGGAAAAGTTTATGTGTATTTTGGACATGTTGAACGATTATCTCGGCAACCGGATTTGGAGATTTCAATAGATGCTAAACCGGCTAAAAATGATTGGAAAATTGAAGAAATGGGTCATGTCTTGGCTTCAGGTGATATCGATAATGATGGATTTAAGGATTTATTTATTGGGTGTCCCTATTGTGGGTTTCATAGTTCACCAAAGGTAGGTTTTAAAAATCATTCTTCAATTTAAAATCAATTTTATTCATTTTTTTATTATTATTATTCTATAGTTAAAGAAGCGCGTATTACAAACTGGAAGAATATTCTCATTCCTAAGTTCAAGGAAACATATTGGAAATAAGACAATATTCGATAGTGATTGGTCACTGCATAGTCCAAGTGGCCAAAATTATGAATGGTTTGGAGCAGCTATCGCGGTTCATCATAGGAGACAAACAAATAACGGTGTAAAATCTGATACTCCAATAATAATTATTGGTGCACCAGGATATAATAATCAATTAAAAACACAGTGGGCTGGTCGTGTTTATGGATTTGAAATTAGAGATGATAATAAAATGACACCTTTGAAAATATTTGATCTGAGTGGGACCGAAGAATTTCAAGGAATCGGAAGGTAATTTAATTACTATTATTATTATTATTATTTTGCCAAGAGTTTAAATTTTTATTGGTGCAATTTATATTTAGTTCAATAATTTCTGGTGATTTTCTTGACGAAGTTGGCGATTTTTTGATCATCACTTCTCAATCAGAGGTAGACCTATTTCTATTCTCAAATATCAAGCATTCAACGCTTTTACTTTAAAAAACAACTAATCACATTATACTACTAGACAAACATTCAGAGATTCCCACTATACAATAAGTTCTGGCAAGCCGGTGCTGTTCGTGTAGTAAACATGAATTATCTAAAAGAAGGAACCCTATTATCTGATGATTATATGAGAGTTGGAAATGGGTTATTGTCGGTATTGCGAGGAACTGAGTCAGCATCTCATTTTGGAAGTGCGGTATATTGGGATGACGCTAAAAATTCTCTTTGGATTTCAGAACCACTTACTTCTTGGGGTATATATCTATTTTTTTTTTTTTTTTGGCTTGAAAAGAAATATCTGAAAGAATAATAAAGTTATATTAAATTTAATCGATGTGTATTTTTTCCTGTAGAGGCGGGCCATATTTATAGCTATCCATTAAAATCTCTATTATCCTCTCAAGATGCTTCAAATACTGAAACTTTTAAATTAGCTGAATTATGTATAAAAAGTAAAGAATCAAGAGCAAGATTTGGAAGTAAGATCATAAAATTTGATTTTAATGGTGACGGGAAAAAAGATTTAGTTATTGCTTCGGAACATAGCAGTCAAAGCATTAGGTATTTTATCTATTTGTTATTCGGTTCTTTGAAAAATTTTTTATTGTAAACTTGATGAATGACATTTTTTTTTTAGGTTGGGAGGAAGTGTTGCCATTTTACTGGAATAAAATTATTCTGAGGAGGATGTACTAAGTTTATTAATTTATTATTATACCATTCATTGTGGTTCCTTTTTGAAAATTCAGTAGCTTTTGTTTTAGCTGAATTTATATATAGTATCTTTCATTAATAAATTTACTGTATTACTATCATGACTAAATGTGTTAAAAGTATTTTTTGAATCAAATAGTTCTGAAGATTACAATATGTTTAACGCTTGACGCGCAATTACTCCAAGTCACGTATAACGTGAAAATAAAACAAAAACTTTTTGAAAAATCATATTAATCTAAAATTTCTTGCAAAAAGTACAATGCTGCCCACTAACCTTATTACTATTTAAAAAAAGAGGACATGTAAATTAGTTTAAATGATTTTAGCCAATAGAAACTTGAAAAAAATTGGCGAACTTATCACATGTCTAGCATTTGCAAATTATCAACTTTTTATTTGCAAGTAACACAAACCAAGCTAATAGAATATTTATTTACTGGTATTATGTATATAGTATATAAAATTTTGGTTTTAACTACTTTATGATTTACCAATTAGGTTTCAGGTTCTTGTGTAACAAAATAAAGAAAAAAAATTAAAAAATTAAAAAATACAAAAATAGCTTTGGGCTATTAAAAAAAGTTTTCAGTGCCTAATTTTGCATATAAATAATTTACACTCTAATTTAATATAGCCTGTATTCTAAAAAGAATAATTTACAGTATTTACTGTATGGGTTGGCACGGACCGGTCAATGGTCAAGCTTGACCAGGCTAGTTTGACCAATTTGACCAATTGGTAAAAGGGTTTGGTATTGGTCAAATTGGTCAAAACCAGCAACCCTGGTTGTAATATGCTTATTTTTAATTCTAATACTATTATAAAGATACTGTTTTATATATTACTAAATAAAATTTACAGTATATTGAGAAAAATCGCTTGTTTCTCAAAAAGTAGCATAAGAAACTACCTTTAGTGCTCTAACAAAAGTTTTTCTTGAACGATTTTACTATTAGAGCTTCTCTAACCCTTAGCATAGGCCCTAACCCTAATCTAACGAACTTTGATTTTCACGTGACTGCAACTTTTGGTGACTAACAATCAGAAGATTGTCCATTTAACAGCGAATTGAATTCAAGCATGACTATGTTCGTACCAAAAATTATCGATAGAAACCTGGAATTGAATTTCGTGTAACGCAAACTTAATCACATTTTTCTCAAAATTCTTTCTTTCTCCGTATCTTTTATAAACACACTTTTAAAATTACTATAATCTCAATAATGTGGTCTAATTGTAAAATAAAATAAAAAATTTACCATATGAGTGCTGCCAAGGGAAAAAGGTCGTTCGGACTTTCAATTATATTTTGTGTACAGTTAGGGAACTAACATTTATTACCTCCCCCCAGGGACACGGAATTTATGCGATAAGAATTTGTAAATTATGCGTGCGGTATGTGTAATATATGCGATTTGCTGATG